ACCGAATCGAATCGAAGAAAGCAGCACTTACCTCTACCATAATGCATAAAACCCCTCTAGGGCTAATTAAAGGCGGACACATAAACAAGGTCATAAACGGTTCCATTGTACAGTTGAGCTTCCGAAGTTAATTTTGCACTCTGCAAGTTTAAGTTCGAATCATTTTAAACATTTTTCTAAATGGGCCTGATACAAAAACCTTAAAAGGTATCTGCAATTTTGCAACAGGCCTCGTTTTTAAACAAAATTGTTAATCTCAGTTCCGGTCAACACGAGAAAGGCTGGAATTTAACCATAGTTAGCACTAACTATGATTTAAGTAAAGTCATGCGGCGAAACGCTCTAATAAGCTGTGCATTTGTAAAAAAAAAACGAAACAATACAAAACAATACCGCTGGAGTATTGACCAAAGAATGAAAGAGTTGGAAGCAATCCAAATATCTCGACCGCCCTTATCCCCTCAGGGGAATAACAAGTTTTCGCTTCGTAATGCGTTTATATCTGGTAATAAAGAAAGAGCGTATGGGAGGATATAATTACCTGAGGTTTCGAAAAGTTCTTAGTAATTAAGAAAGAATTCATAATTGTTCTCAAACATCATTGCTTTTTCGGAAGAAGAGAGCCTCATTCATGGGCGTGCTAGAGATGCTTCCAGCGAGATGCACAAAATAAAAGGGTTTCGTAGAAAACGTTTTATTTTTCATCTCCAGAGATAAATGATAATTGGATTGGAAATTCTTTATATTGCTGAAAAGTTGAGCCTGGGATTTTATACGGTTATGCTCTTATGACGTCATAATCCATCCCAGTTTAGTCCACGCCTTTCGTTGTGCAAGCTGAAACAAAGCAGCTAGTCTGAAACAAAGATGCGGTGTCGGAAATAAATCATTACCATGTTTTCCTCTAACGAAATTAATCAGTCATAAAGACAGAACCATGAATATTTGTACCAGGTAAAGCAACACAGACTAAATTGCGTGACTGAGAATGGTAACAACAACTTAACTCCATAAAAATATTATCCCGCACGGCAAGTATTGATGTTGTTGATTTTTCCTAAACATAGCTCACGCCAGTGCGGAGGGAACTTGAGCACGCAGAGCTATTTCGTATCCTCACGAACGCTGAGAGCAAATAACTCAAATGATAGTTGCAGCAGATCGGTGATTGATGCCTGCTGAGTTAAATGTGAACATGTCTTTTCACACCTGAAGACTGCATTATCGTAATTACAGACAGAGCAGTGTCAAATACGTGCTGCGATTTAGCGCAATTCCAATAACGAACTTATCCGATCGAATATAAAACTAGCTCTTTGACATATTGATAATGAAAACACAATTGACCGACAGATCAAAAGAGCATTCCTAAGCTTTTCTGTTTTTTCGATCGTCTGGCCTCGCATTCGTACCGAAGAATCAAATGCTGACATGGCAGGGTTATTTGATTACATCATCATCATTAGTATTGCACGTGGAAGCCACATGTCTCACAGTAAACGTTTACCCAAGGCCTGATGCCCCGGATGAGAGAACTGACTCTTGTCATAGTGATAATGATAACGATGATGATAACTATGATGATGACGCAATTTTATTATTAAAGAGGAAAAGTAGCACATAATTTGCAGTATTGTGATCCATATGATGATTTCTGTCACAATACATGACTCGTGAGTAGTTATTGACTGATCAGTTTCACCCTGGTTGCACCATCATATAGTTGTAATCACCCGTCTGAAATAGGGAGAGGTTATAAGATTTCGATCATATAACGCGCGCCCTGATTATTCGTTAAGCATTACACAAGGCCGTTTGCAAATCAGTTTTATTAGATTTCGATGGCTAGCGGAATTCGAAAGTACTCGAAATAGTTGGGGGAATTCCAAAGGCCTTTTACCGCCCTCGGCTGGGATTTTGTAAAGATAAACTTTCTAATTCTACTTAAAGAGTTTTATGTGCTCTCTCCCACTTCTTTCTTGAGTTCTTCTTCCCCCATTTCCCTGGGATACTACCCGAAATCTGAGAACTGGTCATAATTTTAATTGGCCAGAGCTGAGAAATTTTTTTAAACTTAAAATTTATGACTAAGATTTGAGATTTGCAAAATTTGCTGATTGCTTAGGAGAGATGGATGGATGTGAATCACCGAAAATTCAATTGATCAGGCCGAGATTCCATGACCAGAACCCTATCCGAGACCATGAGTACCATAAACGGTCTTTTTGCAGGCCTTATTTTTCACGCTGTTAAAGCTACAGTGCTCTTTTACGATAATAGTTTTTGACAAAACTAGATAACAATTTGTAGGATTCCATCAATGAATATATGCCCTTTGGGTTTGAATGTTTCAAAGTGAACCTCATGTTGGACGACGCCTGTGTACCTTCTACCTGTTCGCGATTCTTTTGGCTCATGATCGTAGTTGGACAAGAGCCATGACCTGAGTTAGACTAGAATTCTTCCCAAGGCCGTATCAGAAAAAAAAATCGCTTCGTTTATATCTATTTATTTTTTAATGCATAGCCTCTTACGGGAGCTTTAAATAGGTAAACATATTTAATATTCTTACCGAGGCAAGTTCCTCGGTTCGCATCTTTCTAACTACGATGGATGTCGCGAAAATAATTTGACACCATATTTAGCATCACGCATGTTTACATCCTTTCCAAACTATCGGGAAACTCGCAAGCTACTTCCTGTAAAAAAATACTTACATAAGAGAAAAAATATTCAAGGAAGACACAGCCCCAGTTGAAAGACCTTCCTCATTCAATTCTGATTATCTGTAAAGTGATATCTGCTTCAGCAGCAAACTGTCATCGTGCAATACGTATCGTGCACGCTTTCGCCCACGCGTGTACCCCACGCAAACCACGCGATGCCTCCTAATAATGTGATGAATTCATTTCCGCTGCTTCTGGCTGCGGGTAACCAATAGTCTTTCTAGAACGAAATTCATAAGGATTACACGCACAAATAGTAGCTATATTTACGCTCAGTAAGCTAAAAACCCTTCTAACTCTTAATGCTATGATTACAGTAGACCATAACGACTCCGCCTCCTCTCTGATCCCAACGAAGCACCCGGAGGGGAAGTGAATAGGAGAGTTAGGGCCTGATGGCGGACAAGACACACGCTTAGTACATAGTATACTTCTTGGTTGTACTGGCTTTCAAATACATGAATCAATTCCATTCTGTGTATTAATATTAGGAACAATTCTATCGTGTACCAAAGAGTGTGAAAAGAAAGCAACAGTAATTATTACTACGAAGCATTACCATGTCAGTGGCGACAAGGTAGTTTTCCCTCCCTCCCGGATTTATCATGGCCAGTGTGATTTAGAGCACAGCAGGGTTCTGTTCGAGTGATGTCAGAACATCCAGCTGTATCGAATGTGACGAATCGACATTTGATGAAAGCACATGATTAATGTAGGACCAAAGATATAACGGATACAATAATCAAGATCAGAGACTAAATTAAACTTAGCGGGGAATAAAAAAATTCTTACGGTATGAAGCTATTTTTATTTTTGTTTTCCTTTGTTTTTATTTTTATTTTGTGCAGTCATGCATAGATTGCACTAATTTTTACGAGAATGGTAATTTTCTCCTTCGGTAAAATTAGTTTCAGACTATTTGTGCTGACACCTTCCGATTTTCCACTCGATTTTTCCCGTTGCGTATGTCGTAATCATCGGGAGATTCCCGGAGCGACATGACGAAACGTTTTGTGATATTCCGATTAAACTACAAATGCTGATTGGGTTGTTAATAAAGTTTAAGCCTGCTTTTATTTCCTGATACCGGTATTGTAATGTATATATTGTGTCTTTGTGGTTATTATCTTCAACAAGGCGTGTTTTGTTGGAGGTCGAGCGGAGAGACTCCTTTGACCGAAAGTTTTCTGATGATTGGTCTGCTCACAAATAGCACATGCCGGACGTGATGTCATTTGATTGACAGACATGCCCCGAAGAATGTACCAGAGTTGGCCAGTGTTAGCAAAGCCTCAGTGAAATTCAGCGCAATCATCAAGGGCTAAGAGTTTTGTGGCTGTTTTTGGCGTTCATTCGCTGAAACATCTTCTACCGTTCGCGTTGATCAAAAGGGGAAACTATTTTTAAGAGGACAGAGAATATTTGAAACGAAAATGAGGCCTAAATCACTTCTTTTGGCTATTCTTGTTGTCAGCGTTGCCTTCGCAATCGAACACACCATGGCGGACTTCGATGGCCTAATTGACATTGACGAGGACAGTGACGATCGCGTCTCACAACATTTTGAGAAAAGATCGGTGGAAAGCTCTATTGGCGAAGGCGACGACGAAGATGATTACGGTTCTGTAATAATGTCCGACGAAAGTGGTAGCGGCAGCGGTGATGAACCAACTACAGAAGACAGTATTGTCGATGTTTCTGTTGTTAGTCCAACCAACGAAAAAGCGACTGCCACAACTGAACAGACCACGACAATTAACAACGAAATCACAGAAGGCACAGAGGAACCGACAGAAGACGAAGTGTCAGAGGAACCTACTGATGGAAATGAGGTTGGCGATGGTGATATGTTCGGTGGTGGTATCTCAGAGACAGATGCACCGGACGAAGATGATTCTCCGAACGCCGAAGCACGGGTTGATGAAAAGAGCGCGTTAGGAGTTCTGACCACCGAAGTTATTGCAGCAGTGGTTGTGGGAGCCGTTTGTGCTGTGATTCTCATTGCATTCCTTGTGTATCGGCTCCGGAAACGAGATGAAGGCAGCTATGCTTTGAGCGACGCAGGTTATAAAGACACGTACAAACTACAAGGCGACACGGGGAAGGAAGCATTCGTGTAAACGAAGTGGATGAGTTCTATTTTGTAAGCAGAACTTTTAGCAATGGACGCAAGCAAAATTTTTTATCGAGGTAATAGTGTAGGTACGATAAGAGAGGCATAAAATATTGAGTACGCCATCGAGATTAGCCTCGCCAACTAGTAAGTCGTACGGTATTAAAACACAGATCTTTCACGATCTGAACTAATGCAGGACTGCTAGATGAAATCGCCTCTTAGAACTAGTTTATTCGTAATCAGAAGGTAAAAAGAAGGCTTCTGTCCATAATTTGGTAGTTTTGAGGCTTAAAGTAGAAGCGAAATCGCTCCGTCAGAATTATTTTCGTATGTTTTTAAGGTTATGACAAGCGGTTAGTTTTTATCGTACCTTCGTTAGGGTGAATTGTCCATAACTTTTCCAGGTTTTTTTGTACATGATATATAGTTCTTTATGATTTTTTTAATCTATGTTCTTTTTAAGAGTGTCAATATATCATTTAAGAAGGCATGACTATATAATATTAGTATATATACATGGAAAAATATACGATTTTAGAAAAAAAGCAAAAAAAAAACCAACAAAATACAAGTTGCAATGTAAGTTTCTGACATGTTATGTATTCCCCACCTTCAACAAGGTTTATATGTGCTCGAAATAACGATATAAAAGGCTGTTTCTTTAAGTAAGTCGATAAAAATAGTATTGATAATTTTTTTGAACATTCTTTGTGACATCAAGAGAAGTAACAGAACCAAGGGGAGGTATTTATGGGTTTAATTTAGCGGATTTTTACGTTGAATACCAGCAATAATATGCGCCTTCTGGCAGACTGGCACTCAATTATTCACAATGTAAATGCTCTCGATTTTGAAACCGCACTAGCATGTGAAGAAGGCCGCTAAGTCGGTCCCTTTTTTGTAATAAATAAACCTTTGAAGTCATTTTCCATATTTCTAGTGCTACTTGTTATATGTGCATGTTGTTCAGTCGCTCATAACGGCTTTCTTTATCTGTTATTAGATGAGTAATCTCGCTTTGCCCAGTTAAAGAGGCGACATGTTGTCAACCCGATATTTGGGGATTTTGTGGCCGCCGTTCTTTTCAGTTTTTCAGTTTTACTGTGGCGGATGTCGCTAAAACGATTCGGCGACAAGTTTCAGCAGAAAACAACGTGGGAACGGGGTGACAACGGTTCGGATATTGTTCAGGCGCGCTATGCCGCGGCGAGGCTGTGAGCTAATTTGCTTTGACATGGAATTCAGTTATTTGCTTTATTACAATAATGCGTTGGGGTTTTTTCCCAAATTCTTTGCCCCTGAAGAACACTTCATTCCTTGAAAATAATGTCGCTTTCTAAGTGGTTACTAAATTAGATAAAGAAGGCAACCCGCCTGGCGACACGCAAGGGGCACCTTTGCTACCCCTAAGCTTGGTATGCTTTCAATAACTCGATTGCTGTGCCGACTTAAATAACGATCGTCTGTAAAATATGCTAGATATCTCGAGATTGGGCGAGCTGTTTGATTCTTTGTAGATTGAGTGTTAAGATTTCGCTCTACAAGCTCTGAAGAAGTTTTGACTCATTTAAAAATCAATGTGTGAATGTTTCATTTGTTCCGCAACATTTTATACGCTTACGAATATGCTTGTCCTGATTTAATAATTGCAAAACACACACTCCTAGGGTTTTACCAAAACTATGGCAGTAATGTTTTAGAAAACCACAGATTTGTAGGGGATTAATTTCTCTGAGTCGGCACTCAATTCCCAATTGCTTTGCATTTTCACTGCATTCAATATATGCACTTCAAAATCAAGGACATCATTATTTACAATTCAAGCAGTGAACAAAATTTGGCAAAGATACATGAAAGAGACTTAATTAGATGGTTTATAATAACAGTTTAAAAATTAATCCCAGCCTTGTGATTGGCAGGAAATATAAATATATTTCACATTGCCTATTTCAGAGTAGAAGCTTTTTGTGTGGTTCTGTGTAAGGTAACTGTTTTATGAGCTGTCACATCTTACAGTACATCCCATGAACTCAGGAAGTGTATGCTATTTCATTTGATATATTTTGTTACTGCAGTTCTGGTGGATTCAGCGTTACAGGAACTCTTGGCCAATTGAAGGGACAGAATCCAAAGTCATTTTTCTGACATACAAAATTAATAATTTCAAATTGAAAGAAAAGTCAAAGAAATCATTAACCAATTTGCCAAGAAAGTGATAATAAACCAAAAATAAACAAGGAAGGTAAAATTGAGGAAGATTAAAACAGACTGAACAACAAGCCTAAACACAAGGCTAATGTGTTTTTTTTCCGAGATGATTCACACTGAAAAATACTGGTTTAGATGTAAATGGAATGAAAGTCTTCTACTAGATGACGAAACAGAACTCCTAACAAGGTAGCCCTGTTTTCCTGTTGGGCTGTTTGGAACAGCAATTAAGCCAAGTTTCATTTAACATTTTTGCATCTCTAAAGTAGTCTCAAGTCTTACTGCTGGGAATCTTCAAACAGGTTATGTTTTACTAGACTTCAAAGTAGTAATTCCCAACCAAAATTTCTGGACATTTTTCATAAGAAACAGCCATACCATTTTTAAATGTTATCTAAAGTTGTTGGTTCATGGTCACCCTGAGAGTATCTTGATGAATTTTCTTTCACCTTCAAAACTGGATAATAAATATGGATGTCTTGTGGTTGCATTGTGCAATAAAGAAAGGAATAGAGTGGTTACTGTAATCCTGAGTCACTGAGGGTTTGGCTTCCAACAGTTCAGCAAGATTTTTTGCTGTGAAATTACTTGGGAAATATACATTTGATGAATTGATACATAAATTTAAAGTGCAACTGACCCAAAAATTTTTTTTTCTCATTTAATAAAATCTACCAGTTTTCTCAGTTACTAACTTATTTCCATTGATAAAATCTCTCTGCATTTCTACAAGCATTTGAAGTTGTGATTTCTATGCCCATGACCGCGAAAAATGGGATCTGTGGGTCTGAAATCTACTGACGTCATCAGAGGAACTAGGCTGAAGGAACTCATGGCGTTTGACAGGGTTAAATTAAATTGAGCACTGCAAAAACATATTGGGGTATTTGTGCTTCATATTTTATCAAAAATGGGCAAGAATTTTAAATGAAAGAACCATCTAGCAATAAACGTCATGCCAATTACAACTCCCTAAATCATAGCTTTCTGATCCCAAGGAAAGTGGACTGCAGACTGAAAGTAACATTAAATTTAATTAATTAATTAATTTTTTTAATGATTGCTTTGGCTGTTTACATGTATCCTGGATTATTGCGGAGTCTCTGCATGCGGACCAAATCTCTGGGTTGGCAGATCTCCTGGTTACAAAGGTAACTGATTGAGGTATTTTTTCACACTTATTTTAGTCAATGTTTAGCATTTTTGGGGAATTGTCTTTCAATATGTGAAGCAATTTTGTGGTTAAATTGGCAGAGCTCTACATGCAAAAGAATTTTTAGGTTTAGAAGAAAAAATTAATATTGTCATCTCCCAGATTTCAATTTTTTGGGGGTTTACATCTCAGTGATTTGCATGCATCCAGGGTTCTCCCTCATTTTCAGTAAAACAGGTAAAAGAGCATTTTAAACTGGTAAAGCAATCAAATGAATCACAGCCTTGTTTATTAGGTCTGCTCTGTACATTACATGGAATTGAAATTTGCCCCATTCTTGTCAACTTCAGCGCCGACCTTAAATTAAATCTTTACAGATACAAGTTTTACCCTCGCTGTTAGGTAGTTTGTGTGAGTATTAAGTACAATACAAAGTAGTAATGGTTGTCACAACGTTTGTTGTGATTTTCTCGCTGTTCCTGTCAGCTTGTTTCAGCAGTAGCACTTAAGAGCTAACATAGAAAGCCAAGCCGGTTTTTTCTTAGCCTTTTTTTTTTCAGACACTTGGTCAACCTCTCAACACATGAATCATCAATAACTTGCTCTACTTTCTATCCTGTCCCATTATTGAATTGTTCACCAGAAGAACATTTCAAAAAAGGAAAGGAACTATGAAATTGATATCAGAATGTAAAACTAAAATAATTCAGTTTCTTTGAAAATGTAAGTAAAATCATTAAAAGTCATCTTCATCAAAGTCTGACTGATAAGCAGCACCTTGGACAAAAATCAAGGACAACTTTCTGTTGGGCAAGTTTGGCTCAATGGCTAATGTCTCTACAATCCAAACCTTAAGTTTTACCTGTGAACTAGCTGATTAGCTAAGCCTAACTCCACATTAAATAAAGTAGTTTATCTTATCTTAACTGACATCTAAAAATTACAGTCAGTCAAATCTGCCAACAAAAGTAAATAATGTTGACTGCTTTGATGGAAGGACTAAGAGCTCTCATTATTAGAGATTGGATTTTGTTTGCTTTATTGATAAGGGAAACAAAATTGTGTTAACAAGCAAAACATTGCACCCAGTTTTCACCCAAAACAAATTTTCTTGGTAGCACTTTCGATGATTTGTTGTCTCCAACAAGATTTGTCCAGTGGCAGGCACAACAACCATCCACAGGTGATGACAGAAAAGTTATATGCATGTGCAGATGGGCCCATCGCAAAGTTCTTATTCCAAAAAGTTCCTTCCTGCGTATATGAATCAAGACCATGCTTTTAAGGCAGCACTGCTATAAAAACTTAGAATGGTCTTAAGAACACCCAATTACAAGATCATATAGCACAAATCGGGTGCAGCGATCCAACTAGCCATTACTTTAGTCACTAAAGTTCCTAAGGGATAAAAATCAAAGAATATAAATTTGATTGACATGTGATAACAAAAGAAGATAAAATGTAAGATTTTCTATTTAATTTTATTCTGACTAACTAGAACATATCAAACAGGTGTTCTCAATCCTGACCAAGACTCGCTTATTTCCTATAGGCCTTTCTTTTTTATCTTTTGTCAATCTGTTTGGAATGGAAAGAAAATAATGTAGTTTAATGACTTAATTATGCACCATTTGATAGCATGCCAATTCTGAGGCTACATATTCTTAATTTTCATTTTTAATTTAATATTAATTTTTCTCAGTTTATTTGGCCTTCATGGTAATTATGATTGACAGCAGGGTCAACAACAATCAATAGTTAGGCTAGAACCTCCAAGGTCACATGCCACTGAAAGGCACACAACTTACCTAAGTCATGTAGTAATCAAGTTTATGAAATCAGTTTCCAATTTAACAGCCAAAACATCAATGTTATCAGGGCTTAAAATTTGAATTCCAGCTTGCCCTTTGGACAAGCAGCTTCCAGATTTTGCTTGCCCTGGGCAAGTCTTAGATTACAAAGTACTTTTACTTTTTTTATTTAGTTGGCAGATAACTTGCCTCAGCATGCACCCTTGCCCATTGGGCAAGTGTGAATAAGAAGTTACTTGCCTGGCGGGATAATCTACTTATCCTGGACAACTGGACAGCACTTTTTTCAAACCCTGTATATTAAAATATAACTTTATTGACTTTATTCTCCTCTGGGAGAACAGGGTCATCCACTTGTGTCCTCCACTTTGCTATGAGCTGTCTTCCTCTGGTAAAATATATACTTGTAGGTGATTAAATCGTCACATGCAGCAAAACGGTTTACCGCTACCTTCAAACTAGCCCACAAAAGAGATGTATTTATAGCTGTCACTTGGTTCCACTGAAATAATGTCTGCGAACCACAGTGGGAGATCTATTTCAGTGACATTAAAACTTTTGTTTTGTTGTTCAGACCAGTAAAATTCTCTGATAGAACATGGCACTCATGTACACATGTGGTAACCGGCGATAATTTTAGAATTTGAAATTCATTCGCATGAAGCACTGGTGAAACACCAAAGAAGATCTCAACCTCCGAGATTTCTTTGCTATGCAAAGAAAAAGTTTGCAGTGACGAGAAGATAAAAGTGTCTGGAAAAAGTACTCTGGATTCTGTGTTCAACTAAAGTCAATCTGTCTGTTTGTGACAAGAGCGATCTTGGTGCTGGTGTTTGCCGCTCCAAATGTGTTAATCATCTGCTTCACTACAAGAGAGCTTTAGACAGAGTAGCAGAACTCAAAAATGAGATTTCACAAATGATGGCTTGTCAAAAAACTAGGGAGCTAGCCAGGACAAATGGCAGGAGCAAATGTTAAATGGGGCTTCATGAAACAGGCCTGCAGAACTCTTACAGTTTGTAACATTTGCCATTCTCTTTTAATTTTAGGTCTCTCCTTTGGGAGGCGCGGTGGCCTCATGGTTAGTGTGCTCGTCTCCGGATCGAGAGGTCCGGGTTCGAGCCCTGCCTGGGGACATTGTGTTGTGTTCTTGGGCAAGACACTTTACTCTCACAGTGCCTCTCTCCACCCAGGTGTANTCATGCTACAGAAACCGGGATAAGCTCCGGCCTGGTGGGCCACTTGGCTTGTATGCAGACTTTACCAACCTTCTTTGCTTCACACATGTTTCTGAAAGGCACTTTATGCACACAAGAAACTTTAAGTAGAGAAGAGCTAGATTTGACTGTTACAAATTTTTTGTAGGTCATAGGTTTGCATGGTTTCCACTGTTATCTGTATGTTGCTATGCTGAGTTTGACACCTCTGTACTTCATGTGGGCTCATTTCTATTGCAAGTTATACCTTTCTCATATCAGCTCTGGAGGGACAAAGTTTGAAATACAGTACTCTGTAAACAAGCTGCTTGGTTGTGCTTTAAATATTGTGACATCAGGTTCTGTTGTTTAATTGGTATTGTTGCAGATAAAATTTCTTGCATCAAGAGGGAGCTGTTACTTCTCAAGCTCAATGTTGTGGTTGATACCTCCTTTGTTCATATTTCTGGCACCACATGATTCAAGTGTTGCTGTTTACACATAATTCAGGTCCTTATCGAGGCTATTGAACTTGAAAACTTTGCAAAACTTCTTGAACGCATCTGCTGCCATTTTTCCTCCACGTGTTTGCACGAGCTCCATGCACAATTTTTGCGTGTTACTTCAGTGTATACTGCAAGGTGAAATGTGATTGATTAATAAGAGCTCAAATCACTGAAATCGATCTCTCACTTTGATTCGCAGACATTATTTTTAGCAGAACTAAGTGACAGTGGGAAATACGTCTATGTTCGCAGGCTAGCTACTTTCCAACACAATACAAAGTTTTCCAAAACCTCTTTTTTTCAACAGCCACTTTGACGTTGTTATGATACAATTTATCATCAATAAGAGGACAGACGTATAAAAAACTGATGTCAAGTTGTTAATTTTACAATATCAATTTGTCATATTGTCCGCTTTCGCTTGCTGATGCATCGCACAAATTTTAAATTCATGTGTCTGTCCACTTATATTTGACAATGAAAGTTAGCCAATGAGCACGTGGAAATTTTTGCAGTTATCGTAAAAACACATGGTAGCAGATCCACATAATCTCTACATTCAAGCACAAGTGCAGTAAAACTACACCTAACTCAATTTTAGACTCTCTTTAGGGTTAAGTACTGAATTTAAATCTTACAGCGCATCGTTCAGCAAACATAAGCTTACAATATTGAAATAATTTTCACAAACTTCTGCAAACTTGTGCACAATGCTGCATGCTGCAATCTACAGATGATGGCTGTTCACTTTTCTTTTTATCTACATAGACTGCGTCTCTAGTTTGCCAGGTGTAAGCAAAGCTGTTATATCACGAATTTTACCTCACAAAATTCATAAAATAATGCAAACACTTACCTCAGTGCATGATAAAAGAATCTCATTTTCACAACCACAACTGACAGGGAAAACCGCCAGGGATTGCAACACCGAGAGAGCACTGGAGATGAGTTCATACCCAGAGCCCCTGCGGGAAAATTTCGGAAGCCATTTGACTTAAGTGTCAAGCCAAAAGATAAGAAAGAGAGATTATAAAATATTTTACATGTAAAGGAGTAGAAACATTACCTTTCCTTATTTTGCGAAAATTCTTTCTTTGAGATTTACTTTTATAGTTTTGCTTTATTTTGTCAAAATTAAACTGAATGATAGCCAAAGCCTGATTTCTGAAATTTTGAGCGGCAGATTTTGATTAAAACTCTATTTTAATCGTAACTAAAATCTTGACAATTTAAATGAAAAATCAAGACCAACCCTCTCTCATTTCAATGATGAAAAAAATGGCGTGTTTTGTTTGTCAGCGCGTGTTCATCATTGATTCGGGGTAGGGGGGGTAGGGGTGGTTTTATTTCTTATTTCATTCTGATCAAGATTGTAGTTTTCTCTTCTTTACGCTGACGTCTCACACTTTAAGGTGTATTAGGTGACAACTGAACAGTAGTTTTAAAAAGAAAGAAAACATTTCTAGCATTTTGCAAAACAGTTATACGTTAGGTGTTTTTCCCCTCCTCAGAACTGCCGCAAGGTCCCTAACATTTTAACCAATTACTTTAAAGCCTTGAAGGGAAACTGGCTCTGAAAAAATTCTTGAGATAAGCGTTTCAAAGATTGGTAATGCGACATCTTCAATTTTCAATAAAACCTAGCCCAAAAACTAAATTTAAGCCAAAAAAAAAAAAAAAAAATTAAAAAAGAAAAAAAAACTTGCAGGCACATGAAAAGGTGCTCGTTGAGATTTTTGAATTGATTAATTCTGGCTAGTGTACTTTTTCATGATATCACGCACATGCTTTTATTACAGAAATGTGATGTTGTAATAATCGTACTACCTTCTCGAGCGCAGCACGTGAGTTGAGAGGTCCAAAAGAGAAACAAATCCTTGCGAAAACGATTTTATCGTGACTCAGCCAAAAACACCACATGACTTAAATAAGCCCAGAGACGATGTATCTCACGAGCACGCGTGCCGAGTTGCGTTCTTTTTGACACGATTTTCTTCGCTAGTAAAATCCATCCGTGAAAGAATCTGAAATGTCTGTAAATCTGTTACAAAACGAGTTAAAATGTCCAAGTTTGGAAAAAACTGAGGAAATGCTCTGAGTCACGCGCTAGTCACTAGACCACTGCAATTTATGTGGGTAGATTTCGCAACCAATCAGATGACAGTGAATTTTTCCCGCCAAGTTTTTACCAATCACGTGCGGTCAAAACGTGTTTTGGAACGTCATGTGACTCTCAATCCCTTCTCCTTTTTCTCCTTCTTTTCCCTGTGCCGTCGTACGTGATATGTGAGAGATGTGGTTTGGACCGAAAAGAACTGCCAATGTTGTCGAAAATATTCTCTTTTGGATCTCGAAAAACTGGCAAAAAGCACAGCGATGTCGAAGCGTAAGTTTGGTGTCTCAAACACTGCGTTTTGTCGTTTAAGGATTATCTTATAACGACCGCTAACATTTGTTTTGCATTTGTACACCGCAGTGAAACGCCAGACGAATTTTGCGCCACGAAAAGGTAGGTTATAAAATGCTAATGTGGCATAAATTTACCAGTCTGTGACAGTCGTTCTTTAGTCGAAATATCAGTATTAACGGTTTTAACCGCCGGTTGAGTTTGAGTATTTATTGAGTGTTTCCCTGTGGGTCGTCAGTTCGTGACTGGAGTAACTTGCCTGCGAATAAAACCATTTTGCAATCCGTATGCATAGAGTACTCTTCGATTGATTTCGACCCACGAAAAACGATTTTAAAATATCAATAGGCGTATAAATTCGAGAAGACTGTGGAGTACATGACATTTTACTCTATCGTTTGAAACAGCGAGTCAATCAACTTTTGTTTAACAAGTAGCGTCCCGAATCGCGAAGACAATTCTAGAAGCATTTATCAATGAGTCAGAAAACGACATGTTTATGCAAATTCTTACTCCGTCATTGTAGTGAAAATTCCAAGGCTAAACCCGCTTAAACATTTGGAATTTTTTTGTTATCGATTAATCGAGTTAACCTTATTTTATGGGAGCCAGTTGAGCACGGGATACAAACTTTAACTGTATTTTTCCCATGCAATATCGCTTTTATTGACGGTATAATTACCAATTTAAATGGCCAGCTACTATTTGTTTGAATTGGACAGGAGCTAGATCCGAAATTCAAAGACCAGTGACTCTGAAAAATGCCGGAAAAACCATACAGACGTTAGCAAGCGAGTAGTGTCTGCATGACCTTCAAAACTCCACCAGATAAATTTTTGACATATCTCAACCGCCGCTATTGTAATGCATGGTTACCCTTTAGTGGAGGACAAAGGTCGATTGGTCTGTAGTGATTATCAAGCTTATGTCTGTGGAATATTTCACTGTAGGACTAACTTTTGATACAGAATGACCTGTAGCTTGGCTAGTACACGCTCAGATTAGGTTAAGAATGTTGACATGATCACCAAATTGTGTCGTCGTCTTCTGTGTTCAGTCACTTTCTAAATACAATGTGTGATTTCTAAAACATCCTGTTGTCTGGAGTAACAAAGCTATAAACAACTTCAGTGATGCAAGTAATTACAGTTGCAAAGTTATTGTTGATTTTCATCTGACATTGTGAAAGTCCTAAGATGTTTTAAACTTTTCATCCTACAAAAGCTATTCTTTTAATTCAGACATTCAGTGCTTCATTTTGCAAATAAAGCAGTTTGAATTTGTGATGTCCGAGATGACCGAGTTTTGAAATTGTAAGAATGATAATTACATTTACGTGTTACGACAGGAATAACTGACCTGAAAAAGTTTCAAAATGGGATAATATTGTAGTGATTTGAACCTGCTTCTTGTACATATTTATAGACAAGCACACCACAAATTATTTGTGCCCCAAACAGGGACACAAGCATGCTGAACATGCTAAAACTGTTATCTACTCAAAGTAGCTTCAAGCCAAGTAAATCAAGTCAATCATATTCAACTGAGAAACTCAGTCATTGGGAGAGAGAACATGTATATTGTGTGCCTTGAGATAGAGAAGCTTGTCTGAGTGTAAACTGTCAACATCCATAAATATTTATGGTACAAACAGTTAAACCATCTTTTTACTATTTTTGTACAGGCCATTTCCACAGTTGGCTCAAGATCAGATAAGAATTCTGGTGTTCAGAGATTGTGATCGCAAGGGGAAAACCTTGCTGTTTGACTCCAAGGTAATTACACAGGATTTGAATCAGCAGGTTAGATCAACAATGCAACTCTGCAATTGTAACGTATTATTGCATGCATTAGTACTACTGTATGAATTAAAGCTGTTTAATGAACTGCACACAAAAAAACAACAACATGCACAGATGGTGACTAATGTTTTGTCTTGAGCCAGCATCTTCAGATCTCACAGATGCCTGCAGGACACAAGCTTTTAAATTCAATAGGTGCACAGTTTGAAACAACTTCTTATTGCTGAAAGGTTTGCATTACCAAAGTTGCATTCCAATAAAAGTTTTTTATTGATGTGACTAGGATGTAGGTCAAACCGAAGGCACTGATGCAGAGCAAGGAAGCAAGAGGTTATCTGGAGGTCCAAGGATGGACCCAGCGCCCCGACCAAAATTACAGGTTAGCAATACATAGGTTTAGAGAGCATGGGGTGGATGGATGGAAGTAGGCACCTATTTATCAGTGGAAACAGTGTGCAAAGAAACTGTCTGATAGCCCAGAACCCAAAGATTTTTTTTGTCAGATTTTAGATTTTATCCATCACCTCTGCTGATGAGTAAATTAGAAGCTTCTAGACATTTTATTAAGAGAGGCGATTCAATTGTCAAATGGAATATAATTCTTTTTGCACCCTGTCAGAAAGTGTATTATTGATAGAAATTACTTCTTTTCTTGCTTTATTGTAGTTGTCATGTCCCGACTACTGCTATAATATTAATACGATTGTAATCTGTTTTTCTGTCATTTTAGCATTCACGCCCAAGTCACGATGCCAAAATGCTTGGAGAAATGATATTTGGCTCTGTGGCGATGACTTACAAAGGACAGACTGTCAAAGTTCATGAAATAAGGTACGTCCAGTGTCAGTGGGGTATTGAGTAGTGGATCTCTAAGGTTCATTATAACATTTGTTTTAAGAATTCTATTTTGATAATGCAGGCAATATCACCAGTTGATGAACGCCTGCCGGCTTCACATTGTACAGTAGATATTAACAGGAGAAATTACATGTGCTGGGATACACTCTTTTGGGGGATTTCATTTCTAAAGCAGGGGTTTCTTCAAGGGTCGGGCACTGAAAAAATTGAGTAATTGTGAGGATGATTTTGCCTGCCTGGTTTGATAATCAAGAGGAAAGTTTTTCTTACAAAGAAGTTTGGTTCAAAAAGTTTTACCCTGAAAATGTTAATGAAGCCCCTGCTAATGCAGCAGAAAAAAAATTGAATACCATCCAATGACTAATGGCTGTAATTATTGATTGTTGTATTCTAGAACTCCGCATCAGCTTCTACTAACAAATGTCTTTGCTGTTAAACCAAGAATTGTCATGCCCAACTGCTGGTAAGTGATCTGGAAAATTTCACTGTGATGTACACTCTACATTGTAATGTCAATCATCTGACCAATGTACTGAAGGTCATCAAAGTATGACCCATTTTCAAAGCCCCCTTTCTGTGTCAAGATCTGAACAAATGTTGACCTTTTCCCATGAGATCCTCTTCAATGTAGAAGTGAGTGTCATTGAAGTGGTTAGAGTGTTGAAGTCTGGACCAAACAGTCCACCCCAAGAGTAGGCCATGATCATCATGTTTTTGTTCTTAGACAAGACACAACTCTTGTGACACTGCCCTTCCACCAAGGGTCACATTTTTGTCAGGAAACCTGACAAAATTTTGGGCATGTGGTTTTGCTGTACCTGCCATGGCCAGCATCCCTTGTAGGAGAGTGATCTTTGTGTGTCACCTGATTTTTTAAGGACTGAAGTCTTGACTTGATAATCTAGCCATGGACGCATATGCTTGTAGCAAGTTGATGACCTTTGATCTGATTCATGTATTAGACTTTGGACTATACAGGACTCTTCCTTGGATGGCACAGCTTGGCCATCAGGTGAAAGTTTTGAGGGAATCAGGGCTGTCACTAATGGTCATAAACCATAACGTCTGTTGTAGCTCAGGATCATTGCTTGATTTTTCCCTGATCCTACGGTTTAAATTGCCTGTTGTTGATAGAATTCACCCCCAAAGTAACAAGTTTGTTATGGTTGTGGAGAACAAGACTGCAGGTGACTTTAAACTGAGTGACAGCGCTGGGAATACTAACCTTAATTGATTTTGCTGTAATTATTACAGTGATGGCAATGACTTCCTAAGTTCCAGTAGTCAAGTAGATTCAGTGTTGGATGAAAGTACAAGGATAGAACCAGACTGTGCATCACTGTCGCCACAGAGTAGTTTTTCCAAAGAAGATTCAGGTCTTGGTTAGTATGTACTAATGGTGTATATAAATACCTTTATTGGTCACCCCATTAAAAATGGTTTTTGACCAGCAATTACAATCAAAGTGAAAGATGTGAAAGCTAGTGTAGATAAACAAATGAATAGAGAAAAATCTAGTAAACAAATCTTAGAATTTTTTGAACGTTATTGTTATAAAAATTTGCTAAAATTTTTACTAACAATTTATTAACAATGTAGTGATAGTTTTAGCCAGTCAGAGTAAATAACTTTTTCCACACAGTCAATCACCTGTTGAATGTTTTCCTTCAGGAACTTCATCTAAACCAATGGCTGTTCCAGGATCTTCACCAATAGTTGTTATTGATCATGATACTGATGAAGACAGTGGCTTCACGGCATCTGTTGAAAGTAAGTTACTTACTTTATAGATTGAGCAAGAAGTTGATCGAGAGATATAGAAAACATTTTCTGTGCTTATCTTCTGCTGTTGCATAAGAACATGAATGGAAGTTTGGGAGAACATATCTTCAACAGTTTGTTGTATAATTTCTTTCCAGGTAATTATCTGGAAGAAACTCTGTCATCGCTTTTTCTGTCAGCCTCCTCACCTTGTGGTAGCTATCACAGGCGTCTTCATCGCAGCCAGGTCACCAGTATTGACCACAGTTTTGGAAGAAAGAGCGAAGAATTAGCTGAAGAAGTGAGTAGATGTTGAATGAATGTGGTGAAAATGCATTGTTCTGTGAATCCAGTTATTGTTGGTGTTAGATAATCTGTTTCTTAGGGGGAATGCACCTAACATACATGTACTGGAATAATTATTTTACTTCTTCAACTTTAGCTTTAGTGACATGTAGTTTCATGCACATCTGTCTGGGCAGCATGTCTCTGCTTGAAATTCCAGTTTTGATTTCTACTTTCCTTTAAAAATTTTGCCTTTTAAGACTGCCCTTCCCCTTGGAATTTCTGGGGTGGGTATATTCTCTAGAACCACACATTGTAGACCTAAAGAACAGTATCTTAAATGTAGGCCTAAAGAAAAGTATCTTAAATTGTGTTACAAGGTCTCTCAACAATTATGTACTATAGAATTATTTAATCTTTTGGCATGATTTTATTTGTAACAGGTTTCTCCTCTCATGAGACGCAGGCCAAAGTTGGGTATTGGAATCATTTTTGCGCTTGGTGACAATGAAGAGAAGAGCAGGTACGTACAGTAATAAGTAATAATAACCTTTTTGTTTAGAATGCCAAGGTGATTTGTCTAGCACCTTCTTACACCTTCTTGTATTTACTCTTTGGAATTACTACAAGGCTGACAGATTTCTGCATGTTGCTCTTTGTATCATTTCAGAGCCCTGCAAGGTTTCTTTTTTGCCCATTTCCCTCTGTTTGAGTCACATGTGAAGCGTTTGAGACTGGCTGTAGAAAATGCTTGCTTCTTGAAAACAAAGTCATTTTCAAGTCAAGTAATTGAGGTAAGGCATGCAATTAATACCATTGTAGACGTTAAGATAAGGATTAAATTATAATTTTTTGGCAGATTCTTCTCCATTTAAGGAAATTCAAAAAGTTATTTTGAAACCTTTCTTACAGACAGTACTATGCATCTTATGATAAATATGTTCAAAGTAGTTTTGTCGCATTTTGTAGAGGATAACATTGTCATCTTCTCTTTAATTGGAAAATTTGGCTGCTTAGTGGTGAGAGCACTCGCCTCCCAACAGTGTAACGTGAGTTTGAACCCAGCCTGGTGCCATTTTTTGTTTCAATATGTTGATTGGCTCGTGCCTTGCTCCATGGGTTTCCTCTCGCTCCTACTCCAGTTTTCCTTTCACTCAGAAAACCAACATTTTCAAATTCCCTTTTTACCTACATGCATGACCTGCATGAAAACCAGCTACATTGTACATGTATCACTGATGTGGCTACTTCTCTTAAATTCTTTTTTGAAATTCATGAAATCTAATTGTTATTAATATCAACAGGCAGTACAGGCGTTCAGAGAGAACATCCACAACCTTCTGGCAGCACCAAGACTCAAGGTAGGGCATACATGTCTAATGTGGTTGGAATGCCAATATCATTTTATTTTTTTCTGAATATTAGAAGTGATGTTATTTTAATTAACATTTCTATGTATCCAACATCATTATCAAGAATGAAAATTCATTTAATTACTGGGTAATATCAAAGTTGTTGAAAGACTTCAGTAAGGCATTAAATTAAATATATATATATATATAAAAACATAATCAAGAGGCTTTTACACAATTTATTATCATTTTTTCGTTAATTTAATTTATTTAATTCTCTGCATTTTAACTTTGATTGACCAAACTGGAAATCCCTAAGAATACACTGTCAGTAGTTTTGCCATCCTATTTGGGTATAAAAGTTTTCAAGAAATGACTACGGAGTGCATACAATTTTTGTTACAAGCTATTAGAATAGGGACCATGCACACTGGAATGGTATACACCAACATACATGTGACTAGTTTTCGTTCACTTTTAACATTTTTACCTTTTTGTTATTTTTCTCCAGGAGCCTGTGTGGTTAAACATGATGACACATTCTTCACACCGCTCTCATCTGTGTGAGAAATTCATGGTTCAGTTGATTGATTGCCTCAGAATTGGAAACAGCAGAGAAACTAACTTGTAAGTTATGCAGTCACTATAGCCAATAATCCAACTAATTAGAAAAAAAATTGATCATTTTGTTCAGTTGTAAGGTAAAATTAATAATTTAGTTGAGCTTGTAGGAAATGATTGACATGTTCTGGGAGAAGCCCTTGTGACAACTGCAGAGCATCTTGTTTTGTCATTTTATGCTAATGGGTAAACTGTTTTTATTTTTTATTTTTTACCAGTTTCATGGCTTCAGTACTGACTGCTGTTTTGCAATACCACCTTGCTTGGGTGTCGACGGTGATGCCTGCTGGGGCAGCTCCTAGCCGGGCTTATCTGGATAAACATTCATCCAAAACTGTAAGTTATTTTTCTTGAATTCTTTTGTTTGTTACAACTGTGTATCTCAACATTTATTGCCATTAAGATTTTAAGATAAAATGTAAAAGGAACATCTGTGCAAACATACACCTACACCTAAGTCGCTTCTTGAAGTCCTACTTGGGATTGTTGTAAGTCCGAATTTTGATGAATATTCAAAAACACAACTTGAAGTATTGTTCACTTTTCATGTTGAGTAGCCTTACCTAACCTTACTGTATGCTCCACTAACAGGAGCAAAGAGGATAAGATTCATTTTTAGTTATTTCGTTGTCATTTTGTTAACAGCTGGATCTTCTTGCTCAGTCGCATCCTTACAATCCATTGTGGGCACAGCTGGGGTAAGATAATTTTCAATACTGATTTCCTTTCAAATGTCACAGGTTTGTTAAAGTACAAATGTACGTCTGTCTTTGAGAAAATCGAGCGGCAGTGATATGCTGATTTTTTCAAACCCCTTAGGGTAGTGTTAATCAGTTGGATAAAATTGGAAGGTTGGAAAAATTTGGGGTAAATTTCTCTGGCTAATAGTTTTGCAGAGGAAAAAAAAAATTACTTCCAATAGTCAGGAGGTTCGAAAAATTGAAGTTTCAAAAAAAGGAATTCCACTGTACTTTTAGAATGTCTAAAGTTAGTCATACTTGTGTCATCAGGACAAAGAGGAAAAATCAATGAAATGCCTCTTCCAGGAACATCATTTTATTTATCAGCCAGGGGGCAATTTTTTATAATTGACTATTAAATATTTTAAGCAAAGTGAGGAAATATTGCGTATTTTCTAACATGATCATCAGCCATCTGTCCAATGGGATGTGTATCAAGAATTATTATTAATTAAATAACTACATGTACATGTATTTCTAAAACATGTTTTCCCAAATATTGTTTTTGTAGGGACTTGTATGGGGCAATTGGATTTCCCCTCAGAGTTGCAAGAACTGTTGTTGTTGGAAAAGATTCCAAGCTTGTTGCCCAAGTGTTAGATGTTCTTAGCTATTTTATTAGATGTACAGAAGTGTTTGAACATGTACAGAAAAGAGATGATGACAGCAGAGATGGTACGCACGACAAAGTCTCCAATTTTGGAGAAGATAGTAGCTGTTCCCAGTGTGGAACCAAGTCTTTTACTGAAAGTGACTTCTCTGGAAAAACGTGTAGTTTAACCAGCGGGACTGTAATTATTTGTACTAAATGCAAACAAAATTGTGATGGAAAGTGCACACTACAAGGTGAACTTAAAGACAAAGGGGAGAAAGAATCTTTACATGAACAGATTTTACCACAGCTACAAGTCACACATGGTGTAACGCAATGCTTGAATTGTAGTTCAAGAATCAACGGCACTTCTTTGCAGAAGCTTTCCAACATTGAAATATTGCAGTCTAACTGCACATGTAACAAGATATCTACTGGTGGAGTTCAAAAAGAATTGAAACATTTTATTAAGGATGTGAATTTGTTGACTATGACCAACCACCATTTTAACACTTTTCAATGCTATTGCTGCAAGAATTCAACTGGAGTTGATCACGTCTTGTCCAAAGGAACAAAGTTTAAATGCTACTGTGCACCAGACTGTGATTCTAACAATCATCACGGAAAACAGTTTTCCAATGAACTCTATTGCATCAATTGTCTTGAGAAACTTCATCAATCTTTGCAGAAATGCAAGGGTGACCACCAGACCAAAACAAATGACTCTCTAGCAAGGATTGCAAAAATTTCACAGGCTGTTCAAAGCCAGGACATTTTAGGTGACTGTAATGGACACACAGACAATCGTATCTCTGAGACAGACAGTTGTGTCTCGGATGACACTGATACAGCATCAGTTAGAAGTAGCGCATTAGACAAACTTGTTGATGGGGAAGGGACTATTGCATCCTATGGACGAAGTGGCTCAGCTGACTCAGGCATTCACCAAAGTCCATTAAATTCACCCTTCATTCAGCAACCTGTGGATTTTCCAAATATCATCTCGCATCAAGGAGAAGATGAACAGATTCCAGAGGAACTTCCTCTTCCAAGGTACGGCACTGACCCGCATAATGCATCCACTCTGAGATAACAACTGGGGGAACAAATGTTCTGTTTGATTGAAGCCGACATGAAGAGTTCTTTTAATGATCAACAGTACTGTTAATCACTTGTTTATTTGATATTAATAGAGAATTCAGGCTGGTTGACTCATGAGTTCTTTAAGTTGGCACTAAAATACAATGTGGAGTGATCAAGAGTAATTTTCCTTACATGTACAAAGCAAAACTTGTTCGGTTGTGGTCTATCAGTGAGTGATAACAAGGCTAAATAATCAGATCTGCAGATTTACAGCTGTAAAACTGAAGACCAGGGTGTTCTACTTAGTAATACATGTACATGTTATTGTATATCCAGTCAAAAACTTGTGTTACAACTGAGTACTCTTGATTACTCAGTAATGGTAATATTATTTAGAATATTGATCTTGTACATCATGTATGCAATTGATTCTCTTTTTCCTGAATGACAGATGACAGCTTCATTGCTGCTTATGTAAATAGTTTTGTAATGCACATACAATGCAGGACAGTTTGGGAGTTGTCCTTTGAGTGTGGGTCTACATTTACTTAATAACCGTGACAGCTGTACACATGTAACTTATGCCATCCTTTTTATTACCTCATTCCAGAAGTCCAAAGTACTCCTTGCTTCCCCTTTATTGGTTCCAAACATAGATCAATTTGTATTTTTATTTTTATTTTTTCAGGATAGAGGATGTGAACTCTTGTCCAAGCCCTGACAGGTGAGAGATTTGTTAAGTGCAATGTGCTCTCTGTCTTTTATAAAACTCCCTGTTCACCATGAATAAATTGCATGATCATGTAACAGTTCACTCAGGGGTTGTGTCAAAAGCCATTTCCCTCTCATGGGCCAGCCTTGGATCTTGTGTAGAGAGTGCTGAATTTTGTCGAAGTAGATTTTGTCANAATTCGCCGGTACCCATTCATCCCTGGGTGGAGAGAGGCACTATGAAAGTTGAGGGTCTTGCCCAAGAATACAACACAGTGTCCCCGGCCAGGACTCGAACCCAGCCTGCTCGATCCAGGGATGAGTGCACTAACCATGAGGCCAACGCATCTCCACATTGCCCTGAAGGAGGCTTAATTTTGTATGACGTGGAGAGAATTGGGGAAAACATAATGCCAGCTTGGTTGCTATAATATGTTTATTATGTGCTTGTAGTTAATTCAGTACACCTGTGCTTGTAGCCATGAAGTGTTGTGTGGCACAAGGGTGGTTGGATCACTGTGGAGAGCCAGAGACTGAGAGGTTCAGCCTGGCTGTGTTCCTGGGTAAGGCACTGTACATGCACAGTGGGGATTGAGTGACCTGTAAAGGGAAACAGTCTGGCTACGTTGGGGTGGTGGGGGCTAATGGTTGGTATGTTGCCTTTGACATCAGTACACAAGTCATGACTGTTTGGTTTTCTTTTAGGACTTGTGAGGTTGTCTCTGTGAAGAAGAACAAGAAACAGCCAGCGAGGTAAAACAACACCTTTATTATGTGAGATTTTTGACGGGATAACATGTACACTTTCTAAGTCTGGCAATATCAGTGACCTGACAATTAATATTTTATATGCCAAATTAGTGTAAATCAGTTCTGGGCCTGATCATTAAAAGTGCAATAATAAAATCCAAGATAAGCACAAATGTTGACACAAGTTTTCCAGTGAAGTTTAAACCGGCATGCAGGGTTTTGTCCTTCGTTTTGGACCTCGGCTTATCTCAAACTGTTCAAATTATAAGCAGCAGAAACTTTTGTAAAAGAGGAATAAACCCTTGACGAAGTTCTTTTCAGATTACTGTTAATTAGCAAATTCCAAGAACAACTTGTCTCTGAATTCAGTTTGAATGTAAATTAATTTTGGACAATCAATTCTTAAATTATTAGAATCAGGTTACTTTAGTTGTCATGGGTAATTTTAGGAGAATTTAGACTTAAACGTAGTGACTTAAAGAGCAAGTGCCATGTTTTCTAATTTTTTTTTCATCTGTGTTACTTTTTAGTGATTCTCCTCATGTACAACAAGTTGAAGTGTCCAACTTGGTTTTCTCTATGCTATCTTCACTAAGTGGTCTCTGGGATATTAAGATGTCTGCTGAGTTTGTAAGTGCTTAATGTAAAGATTGACTTTTTGCTCTCTTTGACAGTAATTTGCAACAATTTTTTCTTCAAATTAATACTTCTGAAATAAAGTTCAGTAGAAGAACTTGTCTTTTTTTGTTTTCACTTATAATCAATCAATAATACAATACAATCCTTAATTTATCCACGCAACATTTAGGAGTAATAAAAACTCGTGAAAACATATGAGTGCTAAAAAATGGAAACAATTTTCAATGTTTTTTCACTTTTTTTAGTGTCTCATGCACTTGGAGGATAAACTGAAAGAAATCTACTTGAAAAGCAAGGTAAGGTGACTCGTAACTGAAGTCAATGAGTGTGACAAGTTTACCCAAGGTACTGCAATTTTGAATGTTTGGAATTATTTTGCTGTCTCTCAAAGCTCTTAAGAAACGTTGTGTGACGATTCCAGCAAGGCATGCAAACGGTGACGACCCATTTCGGGCTGTACAGTAAAAGAACAAAGAATGAAAAATGATTCTTTTTGGTTACAGGTTATAACAGAAAGACTGAGAGACAGAAGGAAGGCGTTGACTCGTGACGATCTCACAAAAATGCTGAGGTAAGATTTCATAGGGCATGAAATTTAGGTTGGTGTTACACACGAAGATTGACAAATCGAAATTCCTGTTTTTCATTTTGCCCAGGGGCGCATCGTCGCTTGTAGTCTCTTTTCTATCATGCCATGTAAGACCCGCCGTTGTGACCTGCGGTAGTCTCCTTCGCAGCCTTTTTTTAAGTCGTTGGTCACGCCATGTTGCTTCTTGCGTGACGACCCAAATGCCAAAGGAGATACGTAAGATCACAAATCGCATAACTTCCCCTTTCCTTTGTAACGCAAGACGGGGGAGGTTACGGGCCATTCCTTTACCCCCTACCCCCATCCCGGTAGCATACCTTCAAGACTATGAATAGGAACACAGATTTGTTTCAATTGTAAATTCTTATTGTTTTTGTTGTAATTTTTTTTTCAGTGTGGATAATAATGACGTGCCGTTGCTGCTGGCAGTGGCTAGTACCCATTCCCCACAGAGCATGCCACTGGTCAGCTGAGCACCAAATTAAATGGTTTTGAAAAAAG